CGTGCGATATGGTGGAACGTTTTTTAAAGAAAAAAAAATCGTGGTGGGCAACATTTTGTTGTGTGACGTTTGGTATCGTCATACTGTGTAAAGTGTGATGGTATCAGTAATGATTATAACAGTATAGAAAAACATTAGATTTTTTTCTATTTTAATATTTTGTTTTGAGTTACATACAGTATTATCATGTATTATGATTTATGATAACTAATCATAATACAAAAACAAGTTTTTATTATTATTATGAACTGTTTCTTGTTGTATAAAAACTTGAAACAAGATAACGATAGGCTAGTCCTTTTTTCAATTTGAATTTATATTAAGGTGAAATGGGCGCCAAAAGCAGATTTTCACGCTTTTGTAGGTGCGCAGAAAATCAATTTTTTGTCATTATAAACTACGAATTCACCTTTTATTAAAATCGTTATGAAAGTTAAAGCTTTATCTTTGTGAATTATAATTAACAAAGACACTATTGACACATTTTGGATCGATACAAAAAGATTGCAAAATTTATTCAAAATCTACAATTTTAGGGTAAAATTTGGGAAAAAGCAATTACATTCAAATGTAATTAAGGAAATTTCAATTAAATTCTGTCTATGTGTTCACCAGTAAATAGAACATGGAGGAATTATGCGTATTCAATAGAAAATAGTAAGAAATTGCGCGCGGGCAGACCAAACAAAAGCATATTGTCCTCACTCGTGACCACGATACTATTTCGCCTTACATCAAAATGTACATATGCTTTGTTGCGTAACCAGAGATGACTATTGCTTATATTTTTTAAAGAATATTGGCATCGTAAATACAATATATTACGAGAATATATGTATTATTCCCATTAACTACTTAAACTAGCTAATTTAAAAATGATCGTGCTAGTAACAGTTTAGACATTTTAGTTCCACTATTACAGCTCTAGTACGTGTTCATTTACATAAAAATTAAAGTCAAGGCGCAGCAGGCACCGACGCCGACCGCAAAATCAAAACAACCTTATAAACTACAGGTGAACCCCAAACTAAGACATAATGGATAAATTAAACTAGCAAGATAACAGACAGCGGGTCGCAAACTCGATTGAGGACAAGCACGTGTCGCTTATCGCAATTACAACGGTAATGGCCTCATACATAATGTTATCTCCTGTCTTGTAAAGGAAAATTAAATCCTTGAATATAGACATACTTCCTTACTAGGGGAAATTGAGGTAACACAGAATAGTTAGGTAATCCCCTAATTTGAATAAGTATTTAAAAACCAACAAGAACTTATTAATCAAGGTTAGAGTAATATTATCATACTTAGTCGGGTCATAAGTTCTGTCAAAACCTTATTACTTAAAATATTTAAATACTGGCTAGATGAACTACACCAATTTTAAAAATATAACGTTTGCGCTTGTCGAAAATAAAAAAGACATTAATTTTCAAATATGGAGTGGTCGAAGAAAGACAATAGAGTTGCGGTTATCGCGTTGCACCGCTGTGGGTACGCGCCAAAAGAGATTTTCAATATTCTACAAAAGTTTAAAATAACCCTACGATTTGTTTATCGCACTATCAAACGATTCACTTTTTCCCTTTTTTTTTTTTTTTTTTCTGAAGATTCAAGCTTCGAAGATCGTAAGAGGACTGGCCGACCTCGTACAGTTAGGACGCCCGCGATCATCAAAGCAGTGAAGGCGCGAATCCAACGAAATCCTGTTCGTAAACAATAAATCTTAGCTCTTCGGATGGGCCTAAGCAGAACCACGGTCAAAAAAGTGATCAATGAAGACCTAGGACTACGAGCTTGTCGTAAGAAGACCTGACATTTTTTGCACGAGCGATTGAAAAAAATATATATAAATAATAGGCTGGATCGCTCCCGCGCTTTGTTACAGCGGTACGCGGGAAAATATACCGCGAAATTTTGTTTTCGGATGGAAATTTTTTTTCATCGAAGTTAGTTATAATAAACAAAATGATAAGGTGTATGCAAACAGCAGTTAAGAAGCCAGCACGCGTATTCCGAGGGTTCAACGAGCACATTATCCTTCGTCACTCATGATTTGGCTTGAAGTCTCATATTCAGACTTAACTGAGGTGTTTTTCTGTAAAAAAAAGGTGTAAAAACCAGTGCCGAGATGTACAAAAAATACCGTCCTAACAAAGATAGTGGAAGCTCTTTCTCAAACAATGTTCAAAAACAGACATCGCATATTCCAACAGGACTCTACACCAGCTCATAGGGCACGATGTACGCAAAACTGGTTGACCGCCCATGGAATTGACTTTACCGAACATGAAGACTGGTCCTCTTCTAGTCCAAATTAAGGCCCACTGGATTATAAGATATGGCAACATTTGGAGGAGAAAGTCTGCGCTAAACCTCATCATTGGAGCCGTGGTTGCTCAGATGGTTAGTGTTCGCTGTAAAGTCACATTACGCGAGCAACCCGGGTTCGATCCCCACCGGCACCAATGAAATTGTTAATTGCAATTTCAAGTGCTGATTTACCACGTGCTCGGCGGTGAAGGAAAACATCGTGAGGAAACCGGCATGTCTGAGAAATAAAAAAAATATTTCGAAGACATGTGAAGTTCGCCAACACGCATTGGGGGGCAGCGTGGCGGACACTTCCTTGGCCTAAACCCCTCTCGGAAATAAGAAGAGGCCTGTGCCCAGCGGTGAGACGTATATAGGCCGTAACTTTTTATAAAGTAGTTAGTATAAGCGACTAATTAAAGGAGATGTAAAATACGGTTACACACCGTTTCATTTAGTAAAACAGGATTATTTACGATGTGGGGTGAAAAGTTAAATTTTTTAAGTCTTCACCCCAAGGAAAATTATTTAATTTTATGAAGCAAAAACTAAGAAGCATATCATCTAGTCAAGGACTTTTTCCAATCGTCATCTTCAAAATCAAAAATTGATAACGATACAGTACTATTGTTTGTCGGCACATTATTGTTTGAACTATCAGCTGTTTCTGATTGACCTCGTCCTAAATTCCGCTTACGGAAGGGACTGGAATCCTCCGGTTCTAAATTGACGGCATCCCGGTTAATTGAAGATTACAGAGAAGTTAAAATATCCTCAAGGTCCGATGAATTGGGTTTAAAGAAAATGGCATCACTTTCCCTTTCATCGCTTTCGTGACCATCTTCAAACTCGTCGCCATCCGATAACCCAAAAATACTCTCTAAATTTTTCTCAATTTTGTGTAATAGAATCACTTCTTTGTAACAAAAAAAATGTGTGACCCAGACGGAATCTGGGCAATATATCCTCTTGAGAACTAAGGCATAAAATAAAGCCATATCCTCGTGATTTTTGGCATAAATAGTAGTCTGAACCTAAGGACTTCAGCAAAATAAAAATCCCCTCCTCCCCTAAGGGCAAAAAAGGGGTTATCACAGATGATACTTTGGGTTCTAATCAAACTCAAACGTGTAGTTTTTACTTTTTATTTCACATATTTTAATTCTTAGTTTATTGCAAAAGAAAATCAAAGAAACAGTTTCTGTGGATTTTAGAACATAAAAATATGTTACAGGTGGAACATTTCACGAAAGTTATCTGACTGCATCCCTTCATTCTACATTTTGATCTATTGGTTTGATTGCCTACCTGTACCAACACATACAGGCAAGTGCTTTGCTTCCTTTACCCTTTGTGACATATGTGGTATTGGTTCTATGGGGTCTTTTCCGATTCAGAGCAATATTTGTTCTTCTTATGTTGGTAACAGAGGTCTAAGGCTTGATGTCAGTCTGGGACTCATACGTAGACTGTTGCGAGATAAACGCTCTAAACTAGGACTGGAAGACTGCGATTGAAATTGCATGGTGTCCCAACGGATGAAATGTTTAGCCAAGTCCATTTCGAAATCTAGGTGGTGCATTATTTTCTTCCGGGGAAGACCACACCTCACAGCATCTTGACGATATTCTATCCAAGCTGCTGCAAACGCAAAATCAAAAAAAAATATTGCTTGTACATTTACCCGTTCTTCAGCGTATTGCACATTTTCCAATATTACGATCTAACAGATCAATGCCTCCCATGTATGTATTATATTTTTATTGCCGCCGGTTGTGGAATATCAAGATATTGGCGATCTTTCTAGCTCCAGCGACAGCACGTTCCAAGAGTTTCAACGGCAATTGCTACATAAATTAGTTTGCTATCGATGCACTTGACTACCGCTATCTTTTCGTCTTGCCTCACCACACAATTATAACTTCCTCTACCGTTCTTTTGTAAAGTCCTGTTGGTTTTCATTAAAGCCTTCTTTATCTTCTGCTGCTGCTTAGGATGAACATATCCCGGTACGCGGTATTTCATGGGAGTGCTTGTACAGTTGATGTTTCTTTCCGTTAGGTTTTCAAACAGAGTAGTGGATGTGAAATAACGATCGATATAGATTGATGTTTTTTGTGGTAAGGTATCAAATAGTTTTAATATGATGGATTGATAGGACGCGTTCCTCCTAGATCAAGTTTGCCTGGCATTGGCTATATGGCTGATTCCACCGAAGTTCCTAGACCCCGGTGTAAGTATAAATCTAAAGGCAGATCATTTGGATTATTCATTAAAAATACTTTAATCGTTTGGGATTCGGTTTCCCTTTAACGACCTGCTTCATCTTACATTTCCGGTAAAATGTATCATTTTTCTTTCGTTTTATCTGTTAGGATTCTCAATTTCTGACACTACAGGTCGAATTTTCCAGAACCTATCTACATCTCTCATTGCTGACTTGATGATCTTGCATTGAGACACTGTGATCTTCCACAACTTTCAGGTTTTCTCTGATACTGAAGTATCTATTACGAGTCCGTCTCTGATACAAGTTTTACTCGTGTTTCTGCGGCACAAAACATTCGATTCCGAGGAAGACCAAGTATTCCTATTGCCATATAGCAGCCGATGAAAGACACTCAATGTGTTAGTACAGGTCGACACTACGTCAAAAAATCCGGAGTGAATATATTTCGAAGTGTTCATAAGAACTTAAAAGTGAGGGTGGATTTTAAGTGGGCTGACTTCAATGGCGGGTCTGCATCAAAGGTATTATTGAAGTTTTCTGAACGATTCCACGTCAGTGGTCGGTCAATCGCTCGTCTCTGATAATCACGACTAATACTGTTGAACAGAGGCTCGTCATCCGATTCCTTCCACTCACTTTCAGGATTTCTAGATATCATTTCTACGAAGATCTGATGATCCTGAGAGAATTCATTCATGTCATCATCGTCTTCGTCAAAGTCTTCGCAATCGGAGACATCTAGATTCACTGCCGCCGTACTGCCGTTCATTGCTTGGGTATGAATTGTACTGGCGTTCATTTTTTGGATATGAAGTTACTGGCGTAAACATATACTCGTACAAGTGTTAATCATACCCATTAGGGTAATTCCAGGATAGGTGCCCCAGGAGCCATAACTTCTTAATTAAAAATCTATTGGCTTATTCTTCTTAGGTTAGTTATTCACCGCAATCATCTTATGCTTAACACATAGTATTAAGTTATACCTTAAGTTCAGTCTGTAATGTCTGAAGAGATCTATGATGATCAGGGCCCCCGTAAGGGCTACTGGCGCCTATGTGCAAAAAATGATTTTGGCGCCCCTTAATGCATTTTGGATCATGTTTTTTTTATTTATTTTTGTTGAAGGTAGGTGCTTGAAATGAAGCAAAAAACTGAACTTTAGAAGTCATATTTATTTGTAGACTAAAGTATCAAAATGAAACAATAGAATAAAATCATAACAAAATAAATTAAAATATATTCTTGTTCACACCCATTTTTAAAGCATTTACTTAACTAATTGGGTACAGACACGTTGTTTATAAATACTAGAAAATAACCCAAAACTAAAAATCACATCTTTTTTAGGAACAAATAACAGAAATATTGCCTAATGTCTTACATATATATAAGTACTACTTTCTACTAATACTTAATATTTTAAAAAATATGCAATATGCTATGCAGATACTTCTGATAAAAAATACCTAGGTAACTTCGTTATAAAATCAAAAATGATAGCTAAGTACAATAAAAAAATACAAAATAGCTATTGTAGCAGCGATATTTTCCGAGACTTTGTTACTGCAAATTAATTGATTACATCGCTAAAATTTATACCATCAAAAATTTCTTGTTCAATTGCTAAGACAATCTTTCTTGAAGCATTGTCGATCTTAAATAATTTTTAATGATTTTTAATTTTGAAAAAGATCGCTCGCCAGAAACTACAGATACAGGTAATGTCAGAAGAATTTTTAGTTAAATGCTTACGTTTGGAAAGGTGGAGATTAAATTGTTTTCTAATATACAGAATATTAGTGTAAACACCGTTATCCTTGAAACCAGTGGTTTGGTTTCACTTATAGAACGTAAATTCAATGAATTTAAAAAAACGCTATTTTCTTTCATAAAATTTAAAAAGTTTCTGTCCGACACTCCGACGTCCGACGTCCGTAAATTCATGGATACCCTATGAGCCCGAGTGACGTAATCACTGTAAAGATCACCGCCTGGGCTAGCTACCTACACAACATTCCAATAAAAACACAATAGGTACACATAAGCTGTGATGTAACTTTTCCTTCATACTTTCATCCTGGCTTAAGACAGGCAAAAATTGAGGAATTAGGGAAAAATTGGGTTTTACTAACACAAATTTGTTACTCTTTCATTGATAATTTACTCTATAAGTAAAACCAAACCACTGGTTTCAAGGACAACGGTGTTTATACTAACACCCTGTATATTGTAAAATACTTAAGGGGTCAGTATCATCAGGTAATGAAAACAACTTTAACGCTTTAATTTCATTAAACAAATCATTGGAGTCTCTATCCTTATTATCTTGATCCGTCAGTCGTTCTTCAAGAACAGAACAATGTTTTAAAATATCGATGTCACTTAATTTGAATATGTCGCTAAAAAATCCGAAAATATTATCATACTCATTTAATAAGTCAGTCAAATCGGTTTTTTAGACAGCTTAATGTTTGATCTATAATTTTTAAGAAAAAACTAATTTGACAGGCAGTTTTTGGTTCATGAGGGGGTCTCATCTCGGTGTTCATAGTCAAACAGTTTTGGTTTAAATTTCCTCCTGACCGTTGGTAACGGTGGAAAGTCTTCTTCAATTTCGAGAGAGAGTGCTACTTCTTTCGCTTGTACAAGAATTTCTTCAAACGATTGGTCAGATCTATATTGCTGGAAGTGATCAACTAAATTTTTAGGTAGGTTTGGCATACTTTAATATTAATTGTAGCACTTTGCATTTGTTTGCTGACAATATTTAAGTGAAATAAAACGTCATGCCAAATAATAATTCCAAAAATAAATTGAAATTTTTGTACAGACGTTAAGAGGGAACTCGCTTTATGTCGTTTATGTCATACGATGCTTCTCAGTTTTAGTTGCTATGACGCATAGGTGTTTGTCTTCTTGGCATTCTCGTTATTTACCGCTGTCTTCCTTGCGTCAATTTTTTTGCTTGAATTCAAGGCATCTGCAGATTGTTTAGCCCTTTTGAACATGGTCAGTGGTATTTTCTTTATAGGAGACGATTGCTGCAGAAATTTTTATGGTGTTTCTATACTCGCCATATCAACATTTTTGCTCTTTGAAATATTGTCTTGCGAGGTTTCATGAACTGATCTAAATAATGGAAATGATAGGTCAGTACTATCAAAAATGTAATTTTCAATGTTAATATCTAATTGAGCAAGGCATTCTTGAGAAAGGTCTAAAAGACTTGGAGATCTTCTTGGTGGTGTGTTATGTTGGTCTTCGCACTCATACAATATTAGCTGATTACGTTCTTCAAACTCTCCATGCCTTCATCACAGTTACTCAAAGTAGGTTATCAATCGCCTTCAACCAATGTAGAATTTTGTGCTATTAGGTGCATACCGTACAATTTTTTAACTTCTTGGCTAGTGGTATTAAGAACTCCACCAGCGTGACGCATGTAATACAAGTTTGCACACAGTAGCATTCTAAAAAACTGATTCGTTATGTTCCATTTGTAGAACGGACTTTTAATGATTCTGGATGTCCAGAATAACCATGTGGCTTACCTATGTAATAATATTTTTAACGACGAATAAACGAAACCAAAAATTACTTGCTAAACAAACATTTATTACCAAACTGCTTTTTACATGTAAACATTAGATAATAAAATAATCAAATAAAAATTAAGCAACTACTCATAACAAAAGAAAATAATAGTACATTAAATATTTACTTACATAAGTAAACCAGTCGCTGGATCGCGAAATGCTGCCATCCCTTCGAAGGTCAATGGGCGACTAAATATCAAAAATTGTAACGGATACTGTACAACACGTTCGATCAATAAGTGCATGCTGCCCGGTTTGATACGGATAAATGGATGTTTGGATGTCTAAATATATTTAAAGAAATTCGCAAAGGCGTTTCAATCAGATTCGAAACGGGTATACACTTTAACGGATTGTGTTGTGATTGTCTCTTTGTCTATCTGTCTCTGCGCACGACTATCTCCTCTAATCGTGTCTATCGACTGGGTAGTTTTGATCATATACTTTTGGTATTTTTTTTTCTCGCATTCTTTTTTTGACGGGTAGTTTGATACCTGTAACTTTAACTTTTATGGATTGTGTTGTGATTGTCTCTTTATCTATCTTTCTCTGTGCACGACTGTATCTCCTCTAATCGAGTCTATTGACTGGGTAGATTTGACCTTGTAGTGTAACACTATTATATCTCAAACGCTTTTTATTCCTTCCCATTTATTCGAAGATTCATTCATTATGAGCCAGTGGCCATCCACTGTTGGACATAGTCCTTATCTAGACCGCAACTTGGCCCGGTCTTTGGTTTCACGTTCAGTTGCTAACAGCCACCTTATCTAGATCGTCACCCTCAAGCCATCTCAGGGGGTGTACCACATTAGGTATGTTTACCTAAGCGCGGTCTATTTTCACTCAATGAGACATCTTCTCCAACGATTGTCAGTTATCACATCTGCGACAGTAGTGACCTGCCCATTGCCATTTAAGTTAACAAACCCGGATGTTAGTAATTTTGCTTCTCTGGCCGATTTCTTCATTAGTAATTTTATTCACAAGGGAAACCCTTATAAAACTCATCCTAGTCTAAATGGATCAGGTCGATTCCTATTCTTACTATTACTACAAAACTTATTATTTTTCTTATCGCAAAAATGTTGAGGAGTTAATGAGTTTATGTTTACAAATTATATTTTTCACTACCAACTGTAATTTAAACATTGTAATCATCATTTTATCGCTTGGCAAACGTAACAATTTATCATTTCGTTTTGTCTTTTTTTTGCATATATTTACAAAATTTTTGTGCATTATTATTTTAGACAAGTTATCAGCGAAGCTGCATAGTAACAGGCAGCTCTATCTTCAGCTTCTTTTTGATATGAATCAAGTTGATAAGAGATGTTAGTTAAATTAAATAATGTTTATATTAGTATATGTGTCGTCAGTCTGTTCGAGGATGCAGTTTTTTGTAACATATTAAATGCGATTGAAGATTCTCTAATATTTTGTGGACTGCTATCCTAATAGCAACACATGTTTTTCAGTTGTGTATAATGCTACAAAATCCAGGAATAACGCACTAGTTTTTGATATAATAAGTGTGATAAAAAGGTACTTACTTCCCCTAATAGTAAATGTTATGGTCCGTAGACACCTATATTTTTTTATTTAAAAAAAAGAATATTAATAATGTTATAAACATAACTAATATTCTACTTAACCACTCGTGGTAAGCTTACCTACCCTTAGAGTATTTACAAGCGTAGCTTGCTTATTTACAGTTAAGTTTATATACCCCATTAAAACTAATATTTTTGTTTAAAAAAAATTATTTATGTCAACAAATCGTATGTACTTCTACATTTATTAGTTTATCTATGTCTAGGTATTCAAATTACTAAATCTTTGAATAAAATTACTAGTCAGTCGCAGCAATACCTACAATCAGTCTTATTATCAGAATTAAAGTAGCATTAATCAATGCAAAATTTTCCGCAGAGATTATCCGCTACATTCCTTATGTATCCAATTCGAGCATCTTGCAACAACGTAACTAAATTTCTCTACCACGACCAAATTCTTGATATACGGCGCAAATATCACGATTCTCCACATCATCGTCTTCATCATCATCACACAACTGAGCGATGGGAATATCATCCTCACTATCTTCACTGCTGCTGGTATATTTTTTTATTTAACTTTACGTCTCTTTCTTCCTTTTGCGGGCATTGTCCTTTTGTTTTTCGGATAGTCTTCATCCTCACTTTTTTCGCTGCGTTTCATAACTTTCCCAAAATATGGTATTAAATTTAAAATATACAATTATGAGGCAAATAATGCCCGAGTAACGCCTACGTTTCGCCATTTAAACGTCCCAGTCGCAAACAAGGGTAGTTATTTATACGTGTACCATAAAGTATAGTAATAACAATGGCGTGCCCAGATTTACGTTAAGGTTGATCACTGTCAAGTGGCAAACCCCTAAGGGTTCGCGTACCCTACTTTGAGGAACGCTGCATTAGGTATAGAAAAAAGATACGGACCAAGAGAGAGGCTAATTCTTCTCTGAAGTCTTATTATTGGAACTGGTGTTAGACAAGAAGTTTATAAGAGCTTCAAGGCGGTCTCTTACAAAGAAATACGCGGTAGAGTCATGCTACTCGATCAGAGTAGAACCACGCTCTCACAGCACAGCTGCGTATTTAGTGAGCTAGACCCTTTATCTTAGTCATCAGGTGGACAGTTTGCTCGTTTGTCACTCCACTTATATAAAAAGAAGAAGCATGGTCATGACGGTCATTCTCAACGTAGACTAGCCATTTGCTCAGGATAGGATTATAATGCACGAGTATTGCACTATATTCCCTCACTTTCATAGTCCAATGGGACGGCAAGCCGATACTTCCGGAGAGAGATCAGGCGCAGGACCATCGGCTTTCAGTACATGTTTTCCAAGGCGCTGAGTACATTTAAAACCTTAATTAATCATATCATGATGACAGACCGTGATATCCGCAGTTTGATGTATGAAAGGAAACGTGACATTTTGTTTACAGAATTTCGAATCACAATTACTATTTGCTAAGACAAGTATGGATAATGGCTTATGCGTGTATTTACAACGGGCTTATCATTTCTTGGAAACTTATCGTGTGTTTATTGTTCGATGTCTGGCACGCGCTCTGTTGGATGTAGCTTAATTGTTAGGGTTGAAGGTAGTATAATATTGTCGATACTTATCCTCATCATATTGTTTAGAGGAAAAAGAATATATCTGCCATTGACTTTTTTATATAAGAGGGGCAAATGAGCATGATGGATGTGATGACAGCCCCCCACCCGATGAAGTAACTACCTGGTAAGATATGCAGGAAGTTGATTGATGCAGATGGCTCACGACCGTGCGCCATCTTTGTTGCGTGCGCGACGTTGTGACATTCTTTGGGGGAGACATATGTTCAGTAGTAGACTTGTAAAGAGCTGTAATGATGATGATGATGAAACCTCTCACGTGATGGTAAGTGAATACCGGTGCCCATGAACAACTGCAACACTGCAATACCCCCGGTATTATTCTTGAATAGAGCTGGAAATGTAGTGTATTTGGAGATAATTTATGTAAAGATTAATAATAAATTGACAGTCAATGATATTTATATTTAAAGGGTATGTTCCGAAACGTTTCCAGTGTACAGCTGAATACAAATGACGTCATCAATTGACGCCATATTGTACTGGCGTGACGCCGCCATACTGTGTCGGATATCCGGCCATATTAAAACAATTTTTAATTGTGTGTGCGCTGAATGAAGCATGCCAGAATTTGTTTTTATTTATTCAAATATAAAAAATTATAGAATACTTGCTGGTATCTCCGTTAGGAGGATATAATGATTTTTGGAGCACTAAATGACAAAATAATCCCCAACACTTTTCCAATATGGCGCAAATGTATGACGTCATATACTGTCCTATGTTTTGGAACGAATCACCAGTATGGCGTCGATTTATGACGTCATTTGCATTGGACAGTACACTGGGTTATATTTTGTAACATACCCAAAATAAAATAGATAAGTTACTAGCACGCCAAAACTTAGGGGTTGGAAAGTGGTCAATTGGCCACTCCGGCCCTTGGCTAATAAATATACACGCCATGATTACATAAGCTTAAAGAAAAGGACAACAATAGGCGTTCCAGAACTGGTTTGAAGTAAAGATGTAGAGGATATTAGTAATGTTATATAACGGCGTTAATTCTCTTGCTGGCTAAATCGTATAAATTAGAAATGGGCCGAGTATAGATTTCACCGAATACGAATATTCGATCGAAAGTTCGGTAAAAATTTTAGCGAAACGAATATTCAGCCGAACATTATTCGGCAGGATAACCTCGGTACCTAATCAATTTATGTCGAAACTTGTTACCGTAAACCGCGTGGGATTAGCGCAAGACCCTGCCCCTCGCTCCCTCACCACACCTGACATGTTATTGAATCATCTAGAACTTTCAGTACTAGGTAGTGGTCATAACATAAGCATGTGCCGGCACAAATTACCGGCACATGCTTATGTTTTGACTATTTTGCTGCGAAAAAGACTATTTCGTTGTGTCATTCTTAGGGAAAATTCATAATCTACACTAATATTATAAAAAGGAAAACTTTGTTTGTTTGTTTGTTTGATTGTAATGAATAGGCTCATAAACTACTAGACCGATTTTAAAAATTCTTTCACCATTCGAAAGCTACATTATCCACGAGTAATATAGGCTATATTTAATTTTGAACAAAAATAGGGTTCCGTAAGATTTTTCGGATTTTAAGGGTTTTTCGGACACAAGGTGTAAAAAATCAACCAAAAAAGTTACTTATTTTGCGTACCCTGCCTAAACTATTAAAGATAGAACCATAATATGTTCTAAGTAATTGTAGATCTTATAAATATCTATCACTAAGTACAGTTAATGTAGATAATATTTGGTCTTTGAATGATTAAAATTGGACGTTTGGTTCTGAAGTTATAGCGAAATTAAAATATTACGATTTCTGCTGCACGGCCCGTTGCGAAGTAGGCGTTACCAAGGCCCGGTGAGCGTGTGGGAGGGGGAGTTTAGATCTATGAGTAAGGTACCCGCGCGGCTCTGTCGCGCGGTCGGATCCCTACGCAGCGGTCGTGCGTGAAGTCTAATAATTTTCGTGCGATTTTTTTTTAGGTTTCGTTCTTTAAACTACACCTACGCAAAAGTTCTTCTCAGAGCTAAACAACAGTTCTTCTTAGAGCTAAACAACAGTTGTTCTTAGAGCTAAACAACAGTTCTTCTTAGAGCTAAACAACAGTTCTTCTTAGAGCTAAACAAGTTCTTTTCAGGGCTAACCAACAGTTCTTTTCAGTGCTTACCAACAGTTCTTTTCAGGGCTAACCAACAGTTCTTTTTAAAGCTAGAATATTACACGCTAATAACATTATCTTAAACATTTGAAAATGCCTAAGAGAGCCAGGTCTCAACTTTCTAAACATAGTTCTCAAGCACGGGCAGCAAAAATACGTCGTATGGGAGAATCTTCACCTGAACGTTCACAACGCCTTGCTGAACAAAATCAGAGAAACTCTCAGGTACGCGCACGAGAGTCGAGTGTCGAACGTTCACAACGCCTTGCAAAACAAAATCTGAGAACCTCTGAGTTACGTGCACGAGAGTCGAGGCTGGAGCGTTCCCAACGTCTTCATGAACAAAATGTAAGGACCTCTGACTTACGCGAACGAGAGTCGAGTGTCGAGCGTTCGCAACGCCTTGCCGTACAAAGCTTGAGAACCTCTGAGCTACGCGCTCAAGAGTCGAGGCTGGAGCGTTCCCAACGTCTTCATGAACAAAATGTAAGGACCTCTGACTTACGCGAACGAGAGTCGAGTGTCGAGCGTTCGCAACGCCTTGCCGTACAAAGCTTGAGAACCTCTGAGCTACGCGCTCAAGAGTCGAGCCTGGAGCGTTCCCAACGTCTTCATGAACAAAATATAAGGACCTCTCAGTTGCGCGAAAGAGAGTCGAGTGTCGAGCGTTTGCAGCGACTTAGAGCTCAGGCAGAGAGACAAGCAGTTGTCCACAAATAGAGTTCGCAATCGAATTTTAGCTAACAGCAACAGACTGGCTTTCAGATATGATCCGCAGTTTGATTATGCACAACAAGCGTCCGTCCAAATCGGAGTCATGAATAAGATCTGCTCTAACTGCTCTGCCAAGAAATGGGCGGACGAACCTAATGGTATTTGCTGTGCTTCAGGTAAAGTTTTTCTTCCTAACCTGCAGGAGCCGCCACAACCAATAAAAAATCTTTTGACTAATTAACCATCCATTATCTGGGCAATTTTTTAACAAACATACGTAAATACAATAGTCTTTTTCAAATGACTTCGTTTGGCGCAAAAGAAATCAGGGAAGGAAATTTTATGCCCACTTTTAAAATTGAAGGACAAGTGTATCATCTAATTGGTAGCCTTTTACCACCATCAGGCCAAAACCCACAGTTCTTGCAAATATATTTTATTTCGGATGCAGACCAGTTATCGTTGCGATCAAGCATCGCACCAACCTTAAAAATGGATTTAATTCACGAATTACAGACCGCTTTAAATAATCATAACGTGTACATACGAATTTTTAAACAAAACTTAGAACTTAACTCCTCAGATAATTTAAAGTTAATTATTCATTCAGATCGCACTCCACAGACAGCACACAGAGGCAGATATAATGCTCCTACTGTAAACGAGGTAGCTGTTCTCTTGGTCGATGAAGACAAAGGTCCCAGGGATATAGTCTTACACGGTAGAGACGGGCAGCTCAAAAGAGTTTCTGAGCTACATCGGTCCTATGATCCACTATAGTATTCTATAATGTTTGTGACAGGAGAAGACGGTTATTATTTGACTATCCCTCAGCAGGGTTCTGCGCGTAATAAAACTGTTTCGTGTATGCAATTTTATGCATTTAGATTAATGATTAGAACTAACTCTTTTAATCTGTTACATTATTACAGAGACTTATTTAGTCGATATTGTGTTGACATGATGGCGAAAATGATATCGGAAAGATTAAATTATATTTGTCGGAATCAACAAAGACTGAGGGCTGATGACTACATTCATCATAGAGATGCCTTAAATCATGACGCAAATGTTGACCCATCAAATATCGGTCAACATGTCAACGGCGTTTCATGCACGAGAAAACGCAGGACGCGATGACGTACGTTCGAAATTATGGTAGACCTGACTTATTTGTCACTTTTACATGTAACCCCGAATGGCCTGAAATAAAAGCCGAGCTGCTACCAGGACAACGGTCTTTCGACCGTCATGACATAATTTCACGTGTATTTCATTTAAAGATGAAGAAATTCATCAAATTATTTGTCAAAGAACAGATATTCGGTAAAGTAAAATGTTATATGGCAAGTGTGGAGTGGCAAAAGCGCGGTTTACCTCATTGTCATTTGCTGTTCTGGCTAGAAACTAAAATACAACCAGATGAGATCGACAGTGTCATAGTTGCGGAGCTACCCGATCAACAAATTGATCCGGTACTACACGACATTGTAACTAAAAATATGGTACATGGACCCTGCGGAGAACATAATTTAGCTGCACCATGCATGAAGAACGGTGTCTGTACAAAAAATACCTTCGCCGTTTCATGAACGATACCCAGACCGGAGAGGATGGGTATCCAGTTTATCGTAGGCGCGATACAGGAAATGGCGGTCGGAGCACTACGCTACAAATCAGGGGCAACATGGTGACGATAGATAATAGGTGGATTGTTCCATACTCCCCGCTACTATGTAAGACTTTTAACGCTCATATAAACGTGGAGTATTGCCACTCTGTCCAAGCCATTAAATATATATGTAAGTATATATATAAAGGTTCAGATCAGGCAACTTTTAGCCTTAGAAACCCACACGATGAGGTCGAAAACTATTTAAATGGCAGGTACATAAGCACATCTGAAGCTGTCTGGCGCTTATTTGAATTTCCCATTCACGAGCGGCATCCTACTGTAGTGCATTTGGCCGTTCATCTAGAGAAGGGTCAAAGGGTGTATTTTACACCAGGGACAGCTCATCAAGTTGTCCAAAACCCACGCAATACCACATTACTGGCATTTTTTGCTCTCTGTAATGAAGATGAATTCGCGAAAACTCTTCTGTATCATGAAGTCCCGCAATACTATACATGGGCAAATAATACATTATTCACTAGAAGGAGGCGTGGTGAAGATGTAGTTGGACATCCGGGGATAAAAAAAAGATACCGCTTTAGGTAGAGTCTACGGGATACATCCATCCCAATCAGAGTGTTTTTATCTTAGGATTCTACTGCACCACGTACGCGGTCCGACCTCATTTGCATACCTTAAAACTGTAAACGGTATTGTCAAAGAGACGTATCAAGCAGCTTGCCGTGACCGAGATTTACTTGAAAACGATGATCATTGGGGTAACACTTTAAGCGAAGCTTCGTTATCACATTGTACAAAAAAACTAAGGGAGTTGTTCGTAGTCATACTTTTATTTTGTCAACCATCGGAACCATTGAAGTTATGGGATACTTTCAAAGATCAGTTCTGTGACGATATTAGACATCGTATCAGACAACAAAATCAGGATAACACTTCACCCTTCACTGAAGTCATTTATAATGAAGTATTAATTGAAATAGAAAACAAACTTCTAGAACTAAACGACTAAAATTTAAGTGATTTTGGATTACCTCCTCCCGTTCGTACCCAGAATAATACTATTGACACAATGGTACAACAGTATAACAGCAATGATCTAACAGCGTTTGTTAATGACAATGTGCCAAAATTAGTACCAGATCAAAGACATGCTTATGAGACTATTGTGGACAGCGTGAACAATAACATGGGGAGATTTTTTTTTTGGACGCACCAGGAGGCACCGGAAAGACTTTTCTCGCAAATTTGATGCTTGCTAAGATACGGCAATCAGGGAAGATAGCGATTGCAGTTGCTTCGTCAGGAATTGCTGCAACTCTCTTGAACGAAGGAAAAACTGCTCACTCTACGTTTAAACTCCCGCTATCCGTATCTTTAGATCAACGGTCTACGTGCTCTATTCGGAAAAATGGGCCTCTTGGTAAGTTGCTGCAAGACGCGTCGTTGGTAATATGGGATGAATGCACCATGAGTCATAGAGCTCATGTGGAGGCCGTGGACCGTACTTTAAAAGACCTCCGAAGCTCTGCTAATATCATGGGTGGTATCACTTTTGTATTTGCTGGAGATTTCCGACAAACGCTTCCTGTCGTCAACAGAGGTACGCGAGCAGATATTATGAAGGCATGTTTAAAATCGTCTCACCTTTCGACATCTGTTCAACATTTGAATTTGCGTACTAATATAAAGGAAGAGCCCATCTACATGGAAATACGCATAGCAATTTTCCACAACAGCTGCTGAAACTGGGAGAAGGAATTTTTCCATCTTTAAATTTGGGCACCGATTATGCGGTTACTTTGGATGAGTCTCTAGGGCAAATAGTCTATAATTTAGATAGTCTGATAGATTCTATATATCCTGACATCGAAAACTTACATCAAAATGATTTTCGTTGGCTGTGTTGTAGAGCAATAGTTTCTCCCAGGAATGAAACAGTCAACGAAATAAACAATTTAATTATGCAGAAAGTACCGGGTGAAGTTAAGTGCTATAAATCCATAGACACCGTCACTAACATCGAGGACGCAGTGCACTACCCCCAGGAATTTTTAAATTCTCTGAACCCCGCTGGGCTTCCACTCATGAACTGTCGTTAAAAGTTGGCACGCCGATAATGCTTCTCAGAAATTTAAGACCCCCCAACATGTGTAATGGCACGAGACTTCTTGTAAAGGAGCTAAAAGATAATTTAATAGTTGCGAAGATTATCACCGGCCCTGCAGCTGGTGAATTAGCTCATATACCAAGAATACCCATGATCCCTACTGATTTGCCTATACCCTTCAAAAGGCTCCAATTTCCAGTAAAAATTTCTTTCGCACTCACGATAAACAAATCCCAGGGCCAAACATTCAAATTAGTAGGAATTGATTTACGAAAAGAATGTTTTACGCATGGGCAACTTTACGTTGCCCTATCACGGGTCGGGGCTCCCGACCATCAGTATATTTTGTTACCAGAAAATAATATAACGTCAAATGTTGTGTATAGAGAAGCTCTACAATAATAGCTTAAGTTTTCTATCCTAAAACAACGGGTTGCACTCCGGGACTTAACAACTAACATCCACAGAAAGAAAATCTGTTCAGCCTGCGGATAGTGACTGCTTCGTCGATGTTAGTGTCGGTGTCTGTGAATTGACCTGGGAATCATTTTGTTTGCTGACCGTGTCTTTCCTGGGTAGGCTTTTTGCAGCGGTAACCGACATCCACGCGGGCGGAGCCGCGGGCGACCGCTAGTTATATGATAAAACTGAGTGGCAGGAGATATAATATCCGGCCTTATTTTAGAGAAACTGACGACCAAAGTAAAGTGAAATGTAATAATGTAACGTAATGTTTCTTTGTTTGATTCCAAAATCAGTTTATCAACCTTTCTATTTGCTATAATTGGAAATAAATCTACAGTGCCTCAAAAATATAACACTGTAAAAGTAAAATTATGAAAGACATGGCATTATTCAATTTTTACATTTCAATACAGTGGACATTTTGAGTACCACTTTAACGAATGTTCGGTGATTTAGCCGAATATTCGATAAAGTGAAAATGAAACGTATATTCGGCCCATCTCTACTATAGTATATGTAATGAAGTTGTCACTTCAAAAAAGTGTAAACTCAACACTACTGAAAATTGTTGTGGGCGGTTATTATTATAGGCGGAGACATTAAATTAAAAATGAAAACTAATAAAAAATATTCTTATGGATCACCAAATGAATTACAGCATGGTATCATAAAATTCTTCTAGTAATCTTCCGTTATTTTAATATAATTCCATTATTAGTTCGCCATAATAAATCATCTCAACATCACGGTGCTTAATACAATCTTTTCTGACGACGCGCTCGTGCCTTGTGTAGGCATTCCATATTATATAAGTAAATATGCGGAATGTCTCAAATAAAATCACTGAACTGATACTGAAGTGAACAATAAACCGCTGTTATTCATAAAATACTTTAAATAAGATCATGAAACTTTGCATACTAACTGAACTAACCATAAAGCAGGGCTTATGTTTTTTTTTAATTACCATTATTTTCACTGTAAAAAGAAATTACCTAAACTATCGGCGTCCTGAAGCTTGGAACCGGGCGGCAGGAAACATCTTTTTTTTTCTATCGAGAAAATTTTACGGAATCTTGTTTTCGTTTAACATAGTATCTAACATTAATCCTCAACTTTACCATATATTTAGTTCAAAATTAATGCTCCAATATTTTCGGCATAACGGAGGATCTTGCTAAGCCATTTGAGGTTATATTTCCCCTTAACAAACGTAGCAAAGTTTATGTATGTTGTGGATTTTGTTTTTTTGTCAGTTATATAAAAGATGACCTATTTTTTTAACCTTTTGTTCCAATGTACATTTCATTTATCTATCATTTAATTACTACGCGTCTTGTTCGTCCTGACCTACCTTTGTAAAATTACGGCCTATAATCGCGACGTCACACGAATCGGTTTTGAGCAGTCAAGTCTGGTGTTACACGTAACTTCCCTTGTTACATCAGCGCAGCGTTCGGCGTTTTGCGCTCCATCTTTCGTGATAACGATGTCTCTCAAATCTCTTGATAATAAACTCGCTTAAATACTCGCGTCGCATGCCACATTCATCAGTTTACCGCCATTTGCTAAACGAGTGACGGCTTTCGGTTGCGCGCTAAAACATTCGTGAATTAAAACGAAATATCTTTTGGATCAGTTAAGCTGATACTATTCGCGTTGAAGTTCCCTAATAAAGTTTGCTGTTTAGCAACAACCATAAGGTTGTTGCTTAGAAGTCAATAAAAGCTTTGAGAATTACGCTAATAAAGGTACAGTTTGCTATAGTTATTTCTGTGATTGAAATAAATGTTTTATGTGTTATGTGTAACCAATGTTTGAACCAAGTAATTTGTAGGCCCTACTGTTCTTTTAATAGCTTTGGATTTTATCAAATTTTTTACAACTAAAGAAAGGAAGGAAGTAATTTTGTAAAATTATCACAATATCAAAGTAGTAGTCTAAATTAGAATATTTTTCATTCAGGCATCTTCTTGTTTTTAATTTTTTTTTACTACTAAAAGATTCAGTGAAAAAATTAAGGTAAGTATTTTAATAAATGAGCCGAACAGCATATTAACAAGTTCTAGTAACGTAACATTGACCTTGCTCGTACAACTCTCGCGCTGGCGCCATGTTACGTCATCCATTCCAAAAAAAGCCGCAATTAGATTCGCTTTTGAAACAAATATATATAAGTTTTTTTATAATGCAATCGGTTTTGAAAGTCTGCTGAAACTGATTAAATTATTTGAGAATAATATAAATCATAATACAACAATTAATTATGAGCTCACTGCAATGTATTCTTCAATTTTTTTTAAAATTTCATAAGTGTAATCGTGATCGTGTAACTTCTGAACAATATTTCGGTCATATTCACACAATTGCTATATTTTTGTAATGATTAATTTCGATGCATTAATACTTATTTATAAAATGACTCATCATTACAGTGTAGTGTTATTTAAATTTACACTATAAAAAAATTATATTTACAGCCTATATACGTCCCACAGCCTGGGCACAGGCCACCTCTCATTTCTGAAAGAGTTTTCGAAAATATTTTTTTTTTCTTATTTCTTAAACATGCAGGTTTCCTCACGATGTTTTCCTTCACCGTCGAGCACGTGGTAAATAGGCACTTAAAATTGCAATTAACAATTTCATTGGTGCCGGCGGGGATCGAACCCGGGTTTCTCGCGTACTGTGAAACATTATAAAAGTTCGAAGTAAAACTCATAAAGAAGTTATCGGATAAGGCAAAAATCATGTCTGCCAGGTCAACCCTCCACGTGTACCTTTGAAGAAAGCTCGCTAAATAATTCTAAATCCATTAAGCATATAACATCTTTACCTTTTTAAAATAAAATAGATTTTATGAATTTATGTTATCTGTAGTTTGTACTAAGGAGTAAATAATGTAACCTCTAATCATACACCGCATGTCTGTTAACTATGCGTAATAACATGTCATTTTCATATGTGAGCCGTGTGCCTTTATTTCTAATTCAAAGCTACAATTACCTTTGGCATATATTATATCTACTTTAAACGGATCTCATTGAAAACTAAACTCTAATGGACGTTGGTTTAAAATACTTGCCTTAAATATTTTTTACTTTTTTAGTAAACATTGTTAAACACTAAAGGTTCAACAAAACGATATATTTGTTGCAGACAAAGTTTTTATATTACTTGTCATATCTCGTTTTTTATTAGAGGTAACGTTTTAGGATTTTTTTTAATATTTGACTTGTCACGTCCTTTTTTACTAGGAAGTTTTTTTTTTATTTATTGATTATGATTCACCTAAGATATGATATATAAATATGCAAATATAAAATTAAATATGTGATATGAAGGTAGGTAATATTTTTGAAATATTATTGCAATATAGTGGAATGTAGGAGAGATTTACTTTGCCCTATTTTATTGTTTGAGATAAGTTACGTAACATTTCTGTGTGTGCAATATCATTGTAGATAATTTTAGGGAAGTTAGAGATGTTATCAATCGTTTATCGAAATCTTATCTACTTATAAAGATGTTCGATCATACCTGGTAGTTGTGGAATACACACACGCTCTTGGTTATAAATTACATTTAAGTCGCAACCAAAAAGTTCAGCAGTGGCATATATCACTGGTATTGATATTTAAAAAAAAAGTTTTTTTTCTTTAGATAAGTTTATTTTGCCAGTTCCAAAACATTAATACTAAGTGTTAATGTTTTGGAACATTACACACATTAACACATTCAATTTACAAGTACAGTGATTCACTAATACGATTAATCATCTTAGATGAAGCAATTTTGGTCGTTGTTTAATTCATTTATTTTTATATAGTGCAATGGAGCAGTTACGAAAATGGGAATATTCCGATTTATATTAATTTGTACTAAACGCAGCGACATATATTTATTAGCAACATATTATGCCAACATTTTCATCCATCGTCCCTCCGGTTGACTCCAGTAAATAATAAATATATCGCTGCGTTTGGTAAAAATTAATATAAATTGAAATATATCCATTTTCGTAATTGCCTCAATGTAGGAAGAAGATAAATTACTTATTTCTTTTCTTCCTTTCTTTCTTCTTCATCGGCTTCAACAGTCGACTGCTAGACACTGGCCATCCCGTCGTAGCGAGGATGTGCCGTCACGCTTTTCAGGCGGATTGACGATTACAGTGCCAGACGTCTCGTACCTATATTTTACACGTGGTGTAGTCACGCTGCAGCTATATTATGGTGGCAGCACGAATGGGTCGGCTCGACCGGGGAAGGCTCACGCTCTCACAAAATACTGCAGTGTTTCGTATGGTGAGTGTAGAGATCCGGAGACGCTTTTTTACTGGAAACGAGGCATTCCATCTTAGTCCTCAGGGGTGACAACGCATCTTCGTTTTGATTCTTAACCGAGGATGAATGTAGATGTCTATGGGCCACAGCGTCCACTTACCACCAGGTGGACTGTGTGCTCGTTTGTCACCAAAGGCTAAAAAAAGCTTACTTCTAATTATCTCACTGCCAATGAAGTTACTTGATTCCTCTAGACTCGTATTCTCACCCTTATAACCTTTCACACTGCTGCCCGTCGCCGCTCGGTTTATTTTGCACCTAATATAACTAGATGGAATGGAGAGGGAGGAATTAGGTCATGCAATTCCTGTGCACACTCTCCGAAATGTATTCTACAAGACAACGAAAGGCTGGTTACATTGTGTCTGTGTTCTCCGGTGTGTTGAGCCTGTGCCCACTATGAAACAATCTATGCCTGAGGCCTATGTTCAACGGTGAATAAACTGCAATAATTGAAGTAATAGAAGCCTGTGACGTATGAGGTTGTGTTTGTTGTGCAGTGGTTGCACCGGCCATCTCCGACGAGTCTGACTGTGCCGGGAGTGGAGCGCTCTCTTGCTATAACACAATTTATGAGAAAGACCTATATTTAGCGATGGACTTTTATAAGCTGGATGTATGAGTGGAAGTCGTGCCGTTATAATATGAGGGTGTGTCTGTCGCCCAAGGAGCACCAGCTAAATCCGACGCGTCTGTCGTTTTTTTTTTTAAGAATAAGGGTGACAATCGAGCACACAGTCTACCTGATGTTAAGTGAACGCTGTGGCCCATAGACATCTACATTTATCCTCGATTAACAATCAAAACGCAGATGCGTTTTCACCCCTGAGCACTAAGATGGAACGCCTAGTTTTCAAAAAAAGGGGTCTCCCGACCTCTATACTCACCATACGAAACAGAGCAGTATTAAGCTGCTATTTTACGCTGGTATTCTGTGAGAGCGTGGTCCCTACCCGGTCGAGCCGACTCATTCGTACTACAACGGTGCTCTACCACGTATAAAAAGTTGCGTAGTGCGTTAAGTCTATCCCCTTTGTAGTTGGAGTTCAGCGATGGACTTTATAGATTGTAATGGATGTATGAATGCGCGTGGCGTATATAATACGGGCTGTGTCTGTCGCGCAGGGAGCACCGGCCGAGTCCGGCGCGTCTGGCTGTGCCGGGCGACCCGCGCCCCCGAGCCTCCGCCCGCCGCGCTGCTGGCGCCGCGCACTCAACGTCGACCCGCCCTGGCAGCGCGCACGGGCCCGCTGACGCCACACCACGCAACACACGTAAGTATTCACTAACCTAACACGGTGTTACAAGCTTAGGGTTCGTCACAATAAAAACTGCCGATTGAATTACCAAAATTGAAACTTTAATTGCCGAACACCAATTAAAACTTAAAACACACTAATAATTAATCACACTGATCACTTTAGTTCACTTTATTTCGCTCCGAAGCTTCGCTTGTATCGCCAATTCAATACTCCCCGATCGCGTCATGCAGCAGCTTTAAATACACCTTTTACACCAAAGCATCCAGAATATTCCAGGAGATACGGGCGCCGACCGACCAGACGCAGAAAGTTCGAGTGTGGGGCTTCTAGAAAGCTTAATTCTTCTGTTCGATACTAGATGGCGCTGTTGGTCAAAGTTCAAGATTGACATTTTCTAGGAAGGCCTCCTCGCTCTGGTCCCCGTCACTAGATGGCGCTAGTGCCAGGTACCTGACGTCAACTTAGGCGCGCAACAATGGCATATTGGATTACAAAAGCCTATTCACTCTTGTAAACATCCACGTTATAATCGGATGGAAAAACGTATATTTGGTATATAGGACAAACAAAATGATCAATTAGAACCCGGGTAAAAGAACATATAGCTGATGTGAAGCATCAACGTTCCGGTAAGTCTGCAGTTTGTGATCATATCCTAGACTGCCCCAACCGTTACATCAGATTTGATAGACCACAAATCCTCGCGAAAGAACACCAATTCCTACCAAGGATGATACGTGACGTTACGCTATTGAAATTAAAAAAAACATCCTAATTTCAATAGAGAAGGAGGCTGGGTACTACCACGTGATTGGGACCCTATAATCAATAAAATTAAAACTAAATCCAAGCATACCACTGCAAGACCTCAGGACATAGTCATGCATAAATCGGACCATAAACAATAATTAAAAAAGCTGAAGGTACTCCGGGTTTAACAATGACGTGAGTCACCTCAGTCCCCCGTGACCATGGGTGCTGGAAAGCACCCGAAACGTCGGGAATTAAAAATAAAAATAATTAAAAGTATAATTAAACGCGATAAAATCCGTAAAAGTAGTTTTAATCAATGTGTAGTGTTCGCGTAAATATAAGAAATCATTATAAAAACGTATGTTGGTAACTTATTTCAATCCTTTGCTGTACGCATTACAAAAGACGAAGCAGACGGTTTGGTTCTAATGCATGCAATATCGACAACAAAGTGGTGAAGACCCACCGACCGCCTGTTTTTCGATGGTGGAAAAGAGGGGGAGTATTCAAAGCATGTAATTTCTGCGCACACTTTCCCTTATACTCATCTCCTGATTTTGTTGCAGCCACATATCTATTATCTAGATCCAAAATTAATTTACATCACTTGATCTCCAAATTCGTCACTGAGTGATGGCTGTGACGAATCGCTCGCGCGGAGTTGGTAGAGCCGCCATTTTGTGGTCTTTCAGTTACGTACACGTTTTCACGTGAAACACACAGCCGTGTCCACAACATAGCCAAGTCCCGTTTTTTTTTTAAAGAATAAGGGTGACAAACAGGCACATAGACTACCTAATGTTAAGTGGATGCTGAGTCTCATAGACATCTATCCTCGAATAAGAATCAAAATGAAGATGCGTTGTAACCCGTGAGGACTCAGACGGAATGTTTCGTTCCAATAAAATTGGTCTACGATTCTCTCCACTCACCATATGATTCAGAGCAACATTAGGCTGCTGTTTAACACTGGTATTTTGATTTCTACTATGTTGGACCGGACCGGACCAATGCTTCCCAATTAGTACGCGTACTCCCAGGGGTACGTGGGGTTGTCTGATGGATTCTTAATATTAGTAACTCGATTTAAATAAAACACAGGCAGCAGTGCAGCTACATTATAGTTGCAGCACGAATGTGTCATCTATACCGGAGAAGAACCACCTTCTTAAAAAGTACCAACATTTACGTTTTGATCCCTAATATATTAATCAAGATAAAATGCTTTTGTCTATAGATCACAACAGCGACTCATCATCAGATATGTTGTATGTTCATTTGTCACCTTTAATTGTGTCACGAAAATACATAAAATAAATACTAGATGATTGTTCCAGCTGACACTTGTGGACTAGCGCTAGTGGGCCCCCACCACCGGGCTCTGACACCTGACACCGCCTTCCCTCTTTCTCTGGACAGCCGTTCGCCTGCGCGCGCGCAGTATAGCCGCCCCACCGCGCCTCGGCGCCGCCGGGGCTCCGGTACCGTCGCGAGACCTAGCCACAGGGGGAGATCGCTTGCCTATCTATTGACACCTCTAAACATCGCCTCATAAAGCTCAAATTCATCCAGCATCGAGCTGAAGTAACATTCTAAGACCAGCTAAAGTCTGCAAAAGTCGTTTCAAGCAAAAGTTGACGAATATCGTTTCAAGGACACCGAAAGTAACCAAAATCCCGTGCGAAATGAAGGTAGTTGAAGAGGAACAGCGCATCCGCGTGATGGAGGGTCCGTGGACCCCGGAGGGAGTTATAAAGGAGATTATAGAAGAGGGGACGCAGGAAGATCCCTTCTACTTGATGGATTTGGGCGAGGTTGTCGCTCGGTACCACCAATGGAAGGAATTACTTCCTCGCGTAGAGCCGTTTTACGGTAAGATTTTTTTTAAATTCTAAATTTATACTGTAACTCGGATTTCACTGCTAATAAAAATTATTTCAAAGAGACAATCTAACACTAGCACAAAGAAGAAATAGTCGAGTCTATATAACCATTAAAGAGCCGTGGTAGCTTAGGGGCTAAACGCTCGTCGAAACTTCAACAGTGCCCGAGCAACCCTCCGCCGGGACCAATGAACCCCTGGGTGACTGACTTCTATAATGCCTCATTACCAGTAAAAAGTCATAATCATAAGTTGCTGTTTTAAATAATCGTCCAGATCTAAAGTAGGACATAATCATCTTAATGGAGATCATTACAGCCCTTCATAAACCCTCTACTGGAAAAAAGCCTCAAGGAATGCTAGAAAACACGGTCTTAAGCCACCTGCATCCAACGATTTCGTGTATGTTTTACCAGGTCTTCACTCCATCTAATTGGGGCTGTCCTACACTTTCCTTTCTGGTACGCAGCTGTCACACAGAGGGCAACTGTAGAAATATCTCTGCGTGATAGACTTCGTAATAACGATGAATCAGTAAAGTTGAACAATTGGTTTGGCTTTTTTTGTATATTTAGGATGACAAACGAGCACACAGTTCACCTGATGGTAAGTGGATGCTGTGGCCATAGACATCTACATCAATTCTCGGTTACGAATCAAAATACAGATGCGTTGTCACTCGTGAGGACTATGATAGAATGCTTCGTTTCCAGTAAAATGGGTCTCCGGTTCTCTACAATCACCATACGAAACACAGCAGCGTTGAGCTGCTATTCCACGCTGGTATTCTGTGAGAGCGTGGTCCTTCCCCGGTCGAGCCGACCCATTCGTGCTATAACTATACTACTACCACGTAAGAAATATGCGAATTGTTGCAGCGGTGAAATGCAACGACGACAAGCTGCTGGTGAGTACGCTGGCGGCTTTGGGCGCCGGCTTCGACTGTGCTTCAAAAGCGGAGATCGAGCTCATCACCGGACTTGGAGTGCAGCCAGAGTAAGTGGCTTTTTACCTTCATCTGGTCTCCTGGACGATTGCGCTGCATACAACCATGGGCCAGGACGTCTATTGCTTCTTTATTTTCGCATGCTATGTCAGCAAGATATCAATCGTACGTGATCAAATGGTTCGGAACCTTGTCGAAATTTATTAAAAAGAGACAAAGAAAGAAGAAAGACATTTAATACCTATTTATATATACTTAATTTCAGTCATATATACTCTAGGATAGGATCTCTTTCTTAGTATAATAATATTTTTTAGTGTAGGGGTGGTGTCAGAATATCCACTACCCCATTTCATCCCGTGGGTGGTAAGATGCGAGACAGAGAGAAACGGAAACTGTACCAGGAAATGGGCAGCAGCATATTTCTTATAACAGCTGAATAAAACGAAAAGATGCGGTTGCCAACCCCCTTGCAGAATTTGGCAACTATGGCAAATATCCCCCTACGACTTACTCCATGGGGAGGCCTATGTTAGCAGTGAACTTTTGATAGGTGGTAATGGTAAACAATTATTACTTTAAAAAATTGATAGATAGGTCCTGCATATTTTCTGGGACTTTGGGAACGTTGCAACAAACATACTTCAACAAAACCTAAATAACGACTACTTGACTAGCTACCACCTAGTCACTAGTGTATCGGAAGCGACGAGCGAGTAGAACCGCCATAATTTTTACCGTAAGCTTATCGCTCGCTAGTCGATTAGGGCCTTAATTGTACTAAAACTATACGTTTTTGCGCAGGCGCATAATATTCGCGAACCCGGCCAAACTGGCATCTCATATCCGCTACGCCTCTACCGTCGGAGTTGACATGATGACCTTCGACTCGGAGACCGAACTCGTGAAGATCAAGCAGGCCATGCCTCATGCCCAGTAAGTTTATAGAATTTTTATAAATAACGATCAAATAAATTTAAGGTAGTAGTACAAAAACCGATTTGGCGCAAGGGTTACGCCTACCGTGTATTTCACGCTGATGCCGAATAATGAAATCGTTGATTCCAATTTCAAGTGCCGATTCACTACGTGCTCTGTTATGAAGAAGAAGACTTGTGTGCAGTTTACACGCGGTAGAAGTGAAACATTACATTACAAGAAATACATTACATATTCATAACTCTAGGTTTTAAATCATAGATTGCACTAATAGCCCTCTTCTGTAAAACAGATATAATTTCAGCAGAACTTAGTCTGCTTGCTAGTTTTGATATATGGGGACCCCATGAAAGCTTTGCGTCTAGTGTGATTCCAAGAAAAATTAACAAGACTCAGCTCCTTCCCATTTAAAATTACATTAGTACCTAACATGTTTGACATTTGGAGTTATGAATTTTATACATTTAGTTTTAGTGCCTTTTAAATGCAAATTATTTACATTAAACCAATTTACTAATTTAGATATAGCATTATTTATTACGTCATAATTTAGAAACTGTCATTGTTTTAATTTGAAAATGAATGAAGTGTCACCAGCAAATAATACTATATCGTGGTAATTACTATGTAAGATAAGTCATTAATATATATAAGAAACAAAAAGGGGCCATGATATGAGCCCTGAACCACGCCCATTTATACTATCAATCCGGAAGAACTCATACTAGTAATGACAACTGTTTTCGTTTTGTTACTTAAATGTGAAATAATTAATTTAAGAGCATTACTTCTTACACTATAGTGTAGTAGTTGAAGTTTCCTGGTTAATGTTTCATGTTGAACACAATCGAAGGCTTTGGATAGGTCACACAATATTCCGAAAGCATCCTGTAAATTCTCCTATGCATTGAAGATATATTTAATTAGCTCAACACCGGCATCAGTTGTCGAGTGACCCCTTGTAAAAAGCGAATTGATGTATATGTAGCAAATTATTTACATTCAAAAAATTTAACATTTGATCAAAAATGTTATTAATAAACTCGATTTGATTGCAGTCTATAAAATTAAACCCTGTCTTTATATCCTAAGCTACTACGGCATGGTGAAATAACAGTGTTATGTATTGCATTTAAGGTTTAGCAATATAATATGTTGTTTTTTTCTGTACAAAAAGAAAGGGAAATGAAGTAAGGTGACCTTGTGACAGGCTGGTGATACGTATCCGCTGCGACGCGGCGTCCGCGCAGTGCCCGCTCGGCATCAAGTTCGGCTGCGACCCGCTCACTGAAGCGCCACGCCTTCTCAAACTTGCCGCCGTCTACGGCCTCAAGGTCTGTGTACTTTTGCTTTTATTTAAACTTCTACGGATTCAATGTCCTCTATACCTTAGTTTTATTTTGAAAAAAAAAAAAGATTTCACACATTTTTCACTGGCTCATCAAAATGATTTCTTATATTTGCGCGAACGCCATACATTTAAATAAAACTAGTTTTTACGGATTTCATCGCGTATATTATGTTATTTTATATTCCCGACGTTTTGAGCACTTTACAGCACCCATGCTCTTAGGGGGACCGAGGTGTTCGACGTCCCAATGTCATAGTTAACCACGGCTACCTCCAGATTAAAATAAATAATTTTAAAATAATTAGAATTATAACAGCTGCGATTTTTATTGATCAAAAGGCATTATCTGATCTCGTCGACAAAACAGATTTCTTCCAAAATCATTATCGGATATGAAGAAATCTGTTCTTAACAAATTATTTATTTTATATATGACGTATCTAACGCGTGTTGCAAACAACAATGTCGTTGTCTCTTGTAGTATGTAGTACGTACTTTAATGATTCCAGGCAAGTTTGTGTGTATTAGAGCCATAGAATACCATAATACACAATAGAATGGCTGTCAACTTTATTTTGTACGAGGTTTGGCGTCGCCAAACCCGATTCGCTGTGTTGACAGACTGAATAAATTTACACATTTTAGACTTTTGATTAATGTTCAAGATCATCATTAAAAAAAGTCGTTTAAATTTTAATGCATATTTAATTGTAAGTAGCGTGCAATTAGGTATTTTTTAAATAATTTACATGCGAAATTTTGAAACGATTGTAACGTCAAAACACATCTCGTGTTGACATTTATACGTGTGAATTGACGTGTTAGTGACTTTTTAGTGGCTACGCGGGCTCCGCCCACTCTCCCGTTCTATTATGTATGTATTATAGTATTCTATGATTAGAGCAGTGCGGTTGTTTTATTGTACAGACTAAGTAAGTTTGAGCCCGCGAGCTCTAACGCGGTGTTGCACCAAGTCTCGGCGATTCTTTTAATACGCAGTATTCACTTGAATGATTCCAGGCGAGTGCGTGCGTTGTGTATTAAGGCGGGTCGGTTGTGTTTCAGGTGGTGGGCGTGTCGTTCCACGTGGGTTCGGGTGCGCGCGAGACCGGCGTGTATGCTCGCGCCATCCAGCTGGCGCGCGCGCTGTTCGGCCTGGGCGCGGCGGCCGGACACCACATGCACCTGCTCGACCTCGGCGGTGGCTTCCCCGGACACGCCGGCTCCTGCATCCGCGAGGTACCGCGCCTTTATATTGTTACGTCACGTGACGTCATCGTCAAACAGGTGGCCGCGCGCTGTTCGGCCTTCACAACGCTATCGGTGACGTCACAGTGACACTCTCGTAGTGCATAGCTGCTTGGGCTACTGGCTGCTGCATCTGCGATGTACGGATTCACCTTTTTATATTGTGCCATCATAGTTATATTCTCGTCTTTCACCTTTCTATTTATATGATAGATAGATAAAAGCGTTTATTTGTTTCTCCAATCACACACGTAAATTCAGTGATTAAACTAGATATACAAATCAAAGTATTATGAAAAAAATACATAAACTTAAGATCTAAATGTACATGTGTGTTGCAGTTTAACAAATGGGTCATATAGAATATAAATGACTCAAGAATTTACAGTGCACCACATAATTAATGAGTAGTTATTGCACCCCATGGGCACGTGCAGCTACGGGTAACTTCAAACAAAGAAATTTACAGAAGAAATTAAAAAAATTTGTACAACCTGTAACGGGTTTATATGGCTTGCACTTCGGATTGGAAAACAGAGGTGCAGATTTTTTTGAGAGAGTTTTGCCTTATAGTAAATCTGATGCATGTTGATCTAATGCATCTGCGAAATACGGAATTTTATTATTATTATTAAAAATAAAATATATAATGTCATTTCTCACGCGGTCTGTTGTATGAATTTCTAAGTGACCGCGCTGCGGCCGCCGACTGGTTCACACGCGGTATGGATACGACGCGGTACGACCGCACGTGTTTTTGCAGACTCACATTGCAAACAAATACAACTGGTCGCCACCGCAACACATACACATTAGGAATGAAGAATGATCGATGTTGCAGAAACATCGATGATGGCATCTCAACATCATTATTCGGCGTTTATCCTACTTAAAACATCGATGTTGAATATTATCAATGTTTTGCACATGTATTTAATGGGTTAAACCTTAGAATTAGATGAATAAAAAAATAAACATGTTGTTTAAGAATTAGATGAATAAAAAAATAAACATGTTGTACTTGGTGTATTATTAATGAAATAAAAGAAATCAATAAATAATGTATTTAGTTAAAACAGCAGTTAAAAAATTGGATTGTTAAGACATATCTAGTTCATTTGTTATACAGTCTAAAATTTTTAACGATTGATTGAAGAGATAACAATTTTAACTTAGAAGTACCTTTCAGTCAGTTTAACTGATGGTAAAGAGTTGAGTCAGCTTTGGAAATAACCTTCCGATAATCGATTATGGGTTCATTGACATTAATGTTTCGATGTTTGACATGTGGCAACATCGATGTTAAAACATCGATGATCATCGAACATCGCTAATACACATAATAATAATGATGTCCTCCAGATCGAATTCCGGCCACGGCGGCCAGCCTCAACGCAGGCTAGTCATCAGCTCAGGACAGGATTATAGTGCTCAGGTGTATGCGCAAGCACAGGTGCATTCTCTACTCCCTCACTCTAATAATCCGATGGGACAGTAAACCGACACGCCCGGAGGGAGATCAGGCGCAGGATCAACGGCTTTACGTGCTACCCCGAGTGGTGAGACACCGCCAACTTCCTGACTCCGGGCAGCTACTGAGAATTCCTTGACAGAAAAACTCAATAATTGATTTTTCTGGCCCGACTCGGGATTCGAATCCAGGACCTCATGATCAGCAGTTGCACTACTACAACCACTATACCAACGAGTCAGTCACCAATACACACACACTTTAATTGTTAGAGCCGTGCACGGCGGTGAAGGAAAATATGGTGAGGAAACCTGCATGTCCCAAGGGATAAGAAAAAAATATTTCGAAGACATGTGAAGTTCGTCAACGCGCATTTGGTCAGCGCGGCGGGCACTTCCTTGCCCTGAAACCCTCTCAGAAATGAGGGGAGGCCTGTGCCCAGCAATGGGACCTATATAGGCTGTAACTTTTAATTGTCGTGTGTCCGTCCGCAGGTGGCGCAGGTGATCAACGCGGCGCTGGACACCCACTTCGCGGGGTGCGCGGTGCGCGTCGTGGCGGAGCCGGGCCGCTACTTCGCCGCCGCCGCCTACACGCTCGCCGCCATGGTACACGCCAAGCGAGAGGTAAGCCATTGGGTGCGTTTGGCAGAAAAAAGCGCTAGCAAGCTCTTGTAAACAAAATGGCGATCGTAAGCGGTAAGCGCTGTCAAATCGTAAGTAGCTATTTTCCTCTAGGACACGAAGTTAGTTTTAACCGGGGAACCCAACCTAATTTAAATATATGTTTGTAAAGTATTCATATTAAAAACTTACCAATCATGAATTTTTAAAAACATGTATAATATGTTTATTCATGTCATTATATTACTTAAAACTAATATTGCACAAAAAAACAACTAAACTCTACTTCAAACAAATTAAATAAGCAAAATGGCGGATTGTGTCAGCGCTACTGAAGTTAGCAAACGTGTCCTGGCCGAAAACTGTTTAGTTTCGCCATTTTGCTTACAAGCGCTTGCTAGCGCTTTTTTCTGCCAAACGCACCCATTCTATTTGCAATTCACTGCAAACGTCTTTAGTCTTTACTCTGTGATGTTGGTGCTGTTAATCTATATGTTAGAAATAATACACACTCACGTTAAGAGCGCGTCGACCAAACGGAGTGGGCGATAGTTAGGTATTTCAAATAGACTTGCTGGCTGTTTGCTTCGTTACGCACACAGCCACAATTTCCATCGAGCGAGAGTGAGACTGTTTGCAGGTGGCATGTCAAAAGTACGTAACTAAATATTTGAAAAATTTAAGTTCTTGAGTTTCTGTAGTCTATTTTTTTTAAAATTTATTTAGTTTATTTCTTATGAATTTAATATAAAATAAAAGTATATTTGAATTTAGATTGTTTTTATTTTCATATTAAACACATCTTAATACAATTTGAAACTAATACAAGTTAGTAATGCTAACAAATGTTCATTTGCTTTCTATTTATACAATCCAAGTTTTGTGAACCTTTAAAAAAACATTTATATAGTTGCAACAGAACAGTTTTGTTTCATTTTAATAATATAATCTGTGGCAAAAGGAACAAGAACAATGAAAAAACATTTTCATTCTTAATATGTAGTTTTGACTAAATGCATTATCTTTTATTTCCTCACACTAAGAATTGTAAAATGCTCTAAACTCACCTCCCGCACTTAAATCGAAAATAACTTATTTGACAATCTTTTGGCGTTTTGATGTGTTATTTACTGTCATTTTCCGTTTCGTTTCTTTTACGTTTAGTGCATCAAGGATATATTTCGGTTCTCGTATTTCCATTTGTCTGTCTAACCGCGAATCAATTATTTCTGGTAGTAAACAATTAAAATAAAATATTTTCAATTTATTCTCTATTTTGCGCCAAAAATCTATATCTTCCTCAATTAATTCAATTTTCATGTCTACTTCAGTCCAAACAGCAAATATGCAAATTTTTCGTCGTGTGACGTGCAGTTGGCCTTGTGCCTGATAGTACCAGTCATGTGTTTTATTTATAAAAATATTACCATCTTTATCCTGTTTCCAAAAATTTATTTTTTTTTCCTCTTATTCCATCGTCGACGCTCATTCCTTTAGCTGAGTAGGGACATTTTATTTCAACGATTTTGTTTTCGTCTACAATCCCATCTGGACTAGCTCCTAAAAATGGCAAATCAGGGTCAACAAATAATCCGCATGTTTTTATGGAAGTTTTAAGATGTTTTTCCAGTTGTTCCCGTGCGATATGTTCATAAGTTTTACCATGTTTAATTGACTTGACATGATCTAAATTTTGTTCCATCAGAATAGTTTTTACCAAAGGTCCACATTTTATCATCCCTCGTTTGCACACCTTTCCGAAAATGGATGCCGTGAGCCGCAACTTCCGCTCTTGACGCCATTCAATTGAATCAGCTTGTAAAATTGTTCTTCTTTCTAGCAAGTGGCGATGTTCATCAGATAAAGTTATGTTTTTCATATGCTCCGTTTTGGCAAAATCAAAATCAGCTTCACTTATATCAGGTTTTTCACAAGATTCGCCATAATTTTTGTCTTTACGATCGTTAGTCAGCTTGTTTGTCGCAAATGACTTATATACTTGTCGCTTTGCTGAGCTCAATCTTTTGATATTTTTTGTCCTTTCCAGACGTTTTATTAATTTATTTGGGCTCCGGAGCAAAATTTTTTTACTCAGGTATGTAACTGGCTGTTTTGAATTAAAAGAAACTACTGATGCAGCACATCGACCGCTATACGACCGCCTGCTCGAGTAGTTTATTCTCTTTCCGCCAATAAACTTGGCTATTACGTTATTAAATATTTCAGCGATATTGCTATTTACATTGTGCATTAGGCTTGTGGCATTGTTTACCAATCTCGAAAGAATTTTCAATATGGCTGTAAATATAAAACCACCTTCATTGCTTTTCATGGCTGGCACTAAATTTTCTTCTATTGACGATTCAGTTAAACTTTTGCAATAGTATGATTTACAAGAGCTATGATTGCCAAAAACGTGGTGTGGCCCGTTTAACAAATCTTGTTTCAGTTCCAGAACTTTTTCAGCAAAAGTTTTATTATCTTGAGCTTTAATGTGTTTCACGGCAGCAGTAACTGAACGTCTTAATCGTAGTAAATTATTTTGGATAGCTTTTCGATACTTTAATGGGTAGGTTGTATTTTTGGTCAGCTCATCAAGTTTTGTACAATAATTTCTTATTAAATGATTTGTACATTCAATCTTTTCAACCAGTAGATTACCATAAGGTTTTGCTTTTTCAATATTTTTGTGTGTGCTGGCATCACCATCTGCTATCAATCTAAAATATATGAGACCGTGAGTTTCCATTGATGTTTTGAAACCTTCAACTAAAGCTGTTGATTCCATAGCACTTGAAGAACCTGAATAGTTTTTAAAGCATATGTGTTCTGGTACTTGAATTTTTTTATTTTCCGCTCTAGTACAAACCATACAATATTTGTTTTTGACCGCCATGTAGAGAACTTTCTTTGTCCTGTAGCCTATTATAACTGCCGCGCCTGATAAAGCATTGTAGTTTTTCCTATATGATCGTTTGGACCAACAGCCATCAGCAACTACAGTTATCAGCGGAACTCCATTTACATCTACTTCCCCATTGAGAACAGCTAGATCGTGTTCTTCCTTTGCAGCTTCGCTCATGCATTTTTCTTTAGCAAGGTCCCATAGTTGACATACTTTATTATGACATTTTGTGTATAGTTTGTCTGACATACTGGGAATATTAAGGGAAGCAGACACTTGTTCTAAACCAGAAAAACCTGTTCCTATTGACATAAAACTAGCCACAGCATCATCATTAATATTGACATCAGCAGGGCTATCAGGTTTTTTACAGTTTATTAATTCTAACTTTTTCCCACACATTCGACAAACGAAGTAGAATTTTGATATAAACCCTTTCCTGACCTCTTTAGTGAGTCTTAAAAAACTGAAGTCACAACCTAGAGCAGAGTTGTGATTTGAGATATCACGTATTTGGTGCAAAAGGTATTCAAAATCCACTATTCTGTTTCCTTCTACTTTGATATCCTCTTCACGTTCGGTTTCATTTTCTAATATCAGTTCAGAATCTGAATGCTCCTCATGTTGGATTTCATTTTCTACTGTAAGTTCTAGATGTTCCAAGGAATCCTGAAAATTATTAAAAATAAACGTCAGTATTTTTTAACTTCAAACTAAACGGGTGTCTATGGTTTACACTATTGGCGATATAAAATGTTGCGGATGAAATTACTAAACTCTATAAAATCTTTATAATCATTTTAAAATTGATTTATAAACTGACATGAGAAACGTGTAGAACTTGTCGAGACCTCTCATTTGAGACCAAACACTAGGAGTTAATCGCCATTAGTTTACTAAGTATAAAAAAAAAAACAAAATGACGTGAGAAACGAGTAGAGCTTGTAGAGACCTTTCATTTGAGACTAATCACGAGAAGTCGATCACCATTGCTTCACAAGTTATAGTCAAAAATAAAGTTATAATAGCCTATTTTTATACAAATTTGGTTTTTTATTCCTGCATTCCTTCCTTCCGGCTACTAGAACGGCCTTGGTACGTATTATAGTAAGCCATATTTTATTACTTAATAACTTTGTTATAAAGCACTTACGTGATTAATTTCTTCAGAATCATTTTGGCCAATTTTGACAGGAGTCTTGTGAGAAATCTTTTTAAACCTAGCACCACCTTTTCTTTTAAAATATCTTTCCTTACGCTTCCCCATTTTTTTCTACAACAAATTATAAAAATTATTATATTTAAAAAATATCGATATATATTTTCATTATATATATACACATACAAAATATATATATATATATATATATATATATATATATATATATATATATATATATATATATATATATATATTGAATTGATATGTAATAAACAAATAATTCTAATTAAAAATATTACAAAATAAATTAAATCAGAAAATTGAAAAAAATGACTTACTTTACTTTACTTTACGCCGTCTGCAGAACAATATGATATGTACGTATGACGTACACAAATAGATCGCGAAATTTGGCTAAGGCACGTCGCTCCGAAAATGGACGTGACCTCTCTCTCTGAGCTCCCGCGGGCGAATGATTTCCCGAGCGCGTGCGTTCGGATTTATATTCAAATTCGGAGTTCATATATAAAATGTATGGCGAATTTGGGACGCTTTTTAGAAAATTCATAACTAAATCACAAAGCCAAATATAAAAAATGTAAAACGGACGAATTGTGGTGCATACGTTGTAGATTAATATTAATTCCATGTTTTGAAATAATTGAACTAATTTCGATAAAAATTTAACTAAACGGCAACATACCATTTTTAGGATTTTGTCTAACTTTATGAATTTTTAAAACAGAAACTAAAGATATTTATTTATTTTTGCTTCGGAATAAAGGTAAATACATTCTTAGTGATGTTTAATAAATAATTTTTATATTAATTATTGTAACCATAAAGAATAATTTCACTTAACAGTGACAATCGTTTTGAAGTATTTTGCTCGATGGGCTCTTAACACAACTCGTTTTTATTCTCGATGTAATACTCAATTTGACATACATTAGCGAATAACTAACCACTACGGCAGGATACATTCAATAGCGCGTACATAAATCAAATAGTGCCATCTGTCGATCAATAGAATACAACTATATACATGAACCTTTTTACTCACTTTACGACTCTTACATCTCCATCTGACACCAAAAAAAGGCTATGTGCTATGTTGCTTCACAATTTTAACGTGGTAGAACTATGCTGCAGCTATATTAATTGTATATTTGTAACACGAATGGGTCGGCTCGACCGGGGGAAGGACCATGCTGTCACAGAATACCAGCGTCAAATAGCAGCTTAATGCTGCTGTGTTTCTGTGTGTTCTGTGTTGTGCTTAATGGTGAGTGTGGAGAACCGGAGACCCTTTTTACTGGAAACGAGGCATTTCATCTTAGTCCTCACGGGTGACAACACATATGCATTATGATTCGCAAACGAGCATAGATGTAGATGTCTATGGGCCACAGCAACCACCTACCATCAGGTGGACTGTGTGCTTGCTTGTCACCTTTTCATATTAAAAAAAAACTTAGTGTTATATTGCTTATTTTTACAAGTCCACCTGATGGTAAGTGGATACTATGGCATCATAATACTCATAATATGACATCTACATTTAGAATCAAAATGCAGATGCATTGTCACCCTCGCCTCAGTAATAAGTTGCTATTTTATGCTGGTATTCTGTGAGAGTGCGGTCCTTCCCCAGTGAAACCGTGTTACAACCATAATATAGTTTATAAGCTGACTATATCACGTAATAATTATTTACAGTTCATAACTGATGTACAAGTCGACACTATTTGATTGATAATTTTTTTTATACAACAGATAGCAGCAGGCATATACCAATATAAACCACAGGGCTATACTCTCTGGTTTAATTGCAGTAGTTTAAAAACAAGAAAATAATTTTGATCTGTTTTGATAGAAGTGATTTCATTGTATATTGAGTTTAGCAATGATTTATATTTTTTATAGATTAGGAATGACAAACGGACACATGTAGTGATAAGTGAATGCTATGTATACATATCTACATCTGGTCTCGATTAAAAATCCGAATGTAGATGCGTTGTCACTCCTGAGATCTAAGATAGAATGCCTCGTTTTCAACAAAAAGGGTCTCCAGTACTCTTCACTCATTACACGAAATACAGAAGCATAAAGCTGCTATATGTGATAGCGTGATCCTTCCCCGGTCGAGACCACCCATTTGTACTACAACCATTATATAGCTACAACTTGGCTCTACCACGTCTAATATACATTTTGAGAGGTTATAATGCAGCTTGCTGAATTCGCTATGACATATTTTATACTTTCTCAAAGTACTGCCTCGTTGGTCTAGTGGTTGTAGTAGTGCGACTACTGACCATGAGGTCCTGGGTTCGAATCCCGGTTCGGGCCAAAAAATTTAATTATTGAGTTTTTCTATCAAGAAGTTCTCAGTAGCTGCCCGGAGTCAGAAAGTTGATGCTGTCCGTTAAAGACGTAAAGCCGTTGGTCCTGCGCCTGATCTCTCCGGTCGTGTCGGTTTACCGTCCCATCGGATTATGAGAGTGAGGGAATAGAGAGTGCACCTGTGCTTGCGCATACACTTGGGCAATATAATCCTGTCCTGCGCCGATGGCTAGCCTCCGTTGAGGCAGGCCGCCGTGGCCGAAATTCGGTCTGGAGGACATTATTATTATTATTACTTTCTCAAAATACATTTTATTTCCATTGCTTAGAAGATTTCTCGCTATTTTTTATTACCGTCCAACAGTAAATTTGCACCTAAAATCTTAGACCCACAAAGAAATGTCGGAGCTCTGCATACATTTGTGTTGAATGGTTAACCATTAGTTACTATATGCAGAGCAGCATTACACGCATTACTTTGCGGCACAAATAGGTAAGTAGGTACCTTCTACCCTGATAAACTTCTAGAAGACAGAAACGCAGTTCTGCCACCTAGGGCTGCTTGAGACTTATGATGAGCACTTAGCCCCTAAGCTGCCATGATACTTTAAGCGTGGTAGAGCCATACTACATACATATTTGTAGCGTGAATGGGTCAGCTAGACCAGGGAAGAAGTAAAGCATGCTTTTACAGAATACCAGCGTGAAAAAGCAGCTTAATACTGCTGTGTTTCGTGTGGTGAGTGTAGAGAACCGTAGACCCTTTTTTACTGGAAACGAGGCATTCCGTCTTAGTCCTCACGGGTGACAGCGCAGCTGCATTTTGATTCGTAATCGAGGATAGATGTGGATGTCTATGGGCCATAGTAACCACTTACCATCAGGTGGACTTAATGATTTCTTATATTTGCGCGAACACTATACATGATTAAAACTACTTTTGCGGATTTTATCGCGTTTATTTTTACTTTTTATTTACTTTTATTTTTAATTCCCGACGTTTCGGGCGCTTTCCAGCACCCATGGTCATGGTGGACTGAGATGACTGACGTCCCGATGTCATTGTTAAACCCGGAGTACTTATGGTCCGATCTATGCAAAATGAACTGACTATGTTCTGAGGTCTTGCAGTGATATGCTTGGGTTTAGTTTTAATTTTATTGATTATAGGATCCCAAGCAGGTGGTAGTATCCAGCCTCCTTCTCTATTGAAATTAGGATGTTTTTTAATTTCAATAGCCTCACGTATCATCCTTGGTAGGAATCGGTGTTCTTTCGCGAGGATTTGTGGTCTATCAAATCTGATGTAATGGTTGGGGCCGTCTAGGATATGATCACAAACTGCAGACTTCCCGGAATGTTGATGCTTCACATCAGCTATATGTTCTTTTACGCGGGTCCTAATTGATCTTTTTGTTTGTCCTATATAAGAGAGACCACATTCAAAATAAAAGTAAATAAAAAGTAAATATAAACGCGATAAAATCCGTAAAAGTAGTTTTAATCATCAGGTGGACTGTTTTTTTTTTTGGTTTGTTTTTTTATAGAACAAGAGTGACAAACGAGCACACAGTCCACCTGATGGTGTTGTGTGTGTGTGTGTGTGCTGTGGCCCATAGACATCTACATTTATCCTGAATTAAGAACCAAAACGCAGATGCGTTCTTACTCCTGAGGACTAAGATGAAATGCCTCGTTTCCAGTAAAATAGGGTCTCCGAATCTTCATACTCACCATACGAAATACAGCCTTATTAAGCTGCTGTTTGACGCTGGTATTCTGTGAGAGCGTGGTCCTTCCCCGAGCCGACCCATTCGTGCTACAACCATAATATAGCTGCAGCGTGGCTCTACCACGTATAATAATGTGCTTGTTTGTCACCCTCCTCCTTAACAAAAAAACTAAGATTGTAACTAAAGATTATTGTCATGGCACTGCAGATACCCGCACCGAACGAAGAGGATGGGGATGGGTTGCACACAATGTACTTCATCAACGACGGCGTGTACGGCTCCTTCAACTGCCTGCTGTATGATCATCAGACGGTTGTGCCCATACCGCTCCAGGTAAAACTAACGTTTTAACCCACTTTATTAATTATCATTGAAAAGTAACAACCCAAATGAACTCATATATTTTAACTAATAAATAATAACATGTTCTTCAAGAATACATTTCTAGCTTTATATAGTTTTTTACAAACGTCGCTTTGATATCACATAATGAATATTATAAATTATCTATGACACCCTGAAGATTGAAGAGTCAAACCACATCGCGCACTTCCAAATCTATCAAGCCATTTAGGGTTACACGAGGCCATAAAAAACATAGAAACATACGTTACCTAAAAATATAACCATCATAAAAGTGGTCCTAAATTGGCTTTCGATTATTCATATATTATGTAATACAATGTCTCCTAAATTACTTCTCAGATTTTGCTAAATTTGTGGAAACATTTGTAACAGTATATTACAAACATAAAACATAAACACTCACGCCTGTCGCCCAGAGGGGTAGGCAGAGACTACAGACTTCCATTTGGCACGATCCTGACACACCTCTCTCGCCTCCTTCACATCCATACACTACGCATACATGCTCGTCGGTTAAGGGTACTCCTAATTTGGCCCGTTTTCAATAAATCGCCAATTTGGTCGATAAATTTTCGCCTAGAACGTCCCTTTCTGACTGCCATTCACTTCTGCAGCATAAATTTTCTTTGTCACTCTTTCCTCATTCATTCTTTCTACATGACCAAACCACCGAAGCATTCCTTTCTTAATCCTGGTCACAATATCATCTTGCAAACCACACTCTTCTCTTATCACACAATTTCTCACCCTGTCATTCAGATTCAGCCCTAACATACTCCTTAACGACCGCATTTCTACTGCGTTCATTCTACTCTCGTGCTTCTTCTGCCACACCCAACTTTCACTACCATACGTTACTATTACAACTCCATCCAATATATGTATATCATAAGGTTAAACAGTTAAAATATTTTTAAGTTTCAAAACTGTTTTGGGACGAGACTGTGAAAGCTTCATACATGCGTCTCAGAACGCACGCATGTAGGCGACAACAGTGGCCTACAGTAGCACACAGAGCAAATAACGCGATATTAAGGTTATGTTCTGAAATGTTTCCAGTATACTGGCGAATGCAAATGACGTCATTAATTGACGGCATATTCCACCATATTCGATATAACGAATCACCTGAATGGCGTCGATTTATGACGTCATTTGCATTGGCCAGTGTACTGGGTTGTATTTCGGAACATACCCTAAGTGCCGACGCCGTCATTCAGTGCTAAATGTGGTTTTGTTGTTTTCTTAAAAGCTTTCGTTTTCGTTCATTCTGGCACAACTATTAACCACTATTGACTTTTTTGCATGCAGACTCTTCTTTTTTTTCTATTTTGAGCATATTATCTAAGATACTACGTCATTTCACAGTCGGATGAAGGCGCCCCTCGCATGTCTTCTGTGTGGGGTCCAACTTGCGACGGACTCGACTGCGTAGTTCCACGTATCCGTCTTCCGCCTCAGCCGATAGGAGCTTGGTTCATTTTCCGAGACATGGGCGCCTACACACTGCCAGTCGCATCGCCCTTCAACGGATTCCCCTTGCCGAAGGTCCGCGCCGTGGTGGACAGACGTCTGTGGTCCGTTCTGAAGGAACTGTGGCCGCTGACGGAAGACCACTTTGCGGTGGGAGAGCGTGTAACTGGGCCTCAAACTCCTCCACCATCCCCACTGACAGCAGCTCCAGCAGAGTCATTGCACCGCACTGTATTCGTGGAATGTGCATTGAAGTGATTGAATATTGAGAAGGGATTGCCGTACTCATGTCTGTTGTGTAGTTTTGGCCTATTTAAAATCAGTAATATTTTATAATGTTATGAATTTCCTAATGAAATCATACTATTTACTATATATTAAATGCTTATGAATTCGAATTATAATTATAATCACTTAATATTTGCTATTAAAATTTCAATATTGAAAATTCAAATTTTCATTAGTATAAATTTGTGCTATTCGAACTCTAAAAACATTTGTAATAATTAATGTAATTCACAACGGACAGACAATCTCTAAAAACAATAAAATAACGGCAGTCAAAAAATAAAGTGGATGAAAGCAAATTAACATATTATATTTTACTGAACATTTAATATTCCGTTGATATTCACTTGTGAAACATGTTTACTGAATGTTTTTACTTTCATCCAGTTGTGAGAAATTGAATTGGTTTCTAGAAATGCATTAAGATGTTCAATAAATAATGTAGGACATGTTTCTTGTATCAGACTTTAATATCTCAAACGTACATTTTAAATGTATTTTTAAGCTCATATATATCCATTATTGTACGTCCTGATGAAATAATAAACCGACTGTTGTCACCATCTCAGAAATGACTACTCAAAAATATAAAAATGAAACTAAAAATATTTTTAATCAATATGTAACTTACATAATCAATGTATTGTATAAGATGTCTTATTGATTTGTGACTTTTGTGTCTTGATGCGATTTTGACTTTATCAATTATTCACTGCCTTTGTTTATTTGCGTACTAATTTTAAATAACACACAAGTTTAATTTCTTTCACTACTTTTTTAAAACGTATTTGTATTTTGCATTCGTGCTTTTTATTCCTCGACTTATAAATATTGTTATATTTTTATATTGTTTTTTTTATCGTCTTGTGTGTAGATTTGTCATGTAATTGGAACCACTCGGAACCATTTTTATTCATCATAACTTTCTTAGCGGTAGAGAGAACATTTCCATTACGAATAAGTAACACTAATTATCTTCTACGGATGATGCTTTATAAAATTGTAACAATTTCTTTTTTTTAAATTTAAATTTGATGTTTTTGTCATTAGATGGGTTTTGCAAATGGTATTATAGCGAAAAGCTTTTTTGAAATACAACGCTGAAATAAAAGTTTCTGTTGTTTTATTGCTCTTATGTTATTGTTAATTCAATAAATGAACAATTTTTGTTATAATGTTATACATATTATCAAGTCAGACCACAAAGAAAAACTGAGCGCTGCTAATGGTGCTACTTCCTATAACGGTTAAAATTAACAGAAAACTATAAATATTTATGAAATCAACGTATAGTTTTATGTAAGTGTCTTCACATGAAGACCTATAACTTGTCAGAAAAGGATATGTATATGAGGTGAGATTTTAAAAGGGGATAGTTGAGCCTTGATTCCCGATCGAATGACTGATTACGATTAGGTAACTCACTATCTCGCATTTTTAATAAATCTAGGTTTCTCAGAAATAACGCGAACGTAGTAGTAGAGTTAGCTGTAAGCCGCCGCAGTCTATTTTACCCGCAGAATGACTCGTATCCTCTACACGAGGCAAACACGTGTACCTATTATCAACGGTAGTGTCTGTGTAGTGGTGTTGGGATTAGTGATGATAGTGCACGCAGTTGAGGGAGGGCTGGAGATGTTCTTCAAATTAGGCAAGATACATAATTTTGATTTAATACGCGGATATAAGCAAATTAATTTTTAAAATCTTTAAAACCTCTTATTGCCTTTAAAGCGATAACTGATATATTATATATATATATATATATATATACATCCCGTAACTTATTGTACGTCCACTATGGCCAATTTTGCATATAATGTGGCGTCAACCTGCTTACGACGCCCAATATACGGACGTCAAATAGGAGACTTAGCGCAATGTTCGCAAATTGTCATGCTGATCACAGAAATGTCAAAATCTAAAACAAAAATTGGACGTCATTTTTCTTGCAATCTTGCTGTACTGAATATTTACGTAGTTCCGCTAATTTTCGTTGCAAAATAATAGCGCTGCTGTCGATTTGTGAATACTTTCATTTATGGCCGTATTTGACTTCTGCACAAAATTAGGAGATGCGACGTTGCCGTTCCGTCACCGTTGCCATCGTGTTATTTGTATTTGGTGATATATGATTATGACTGCCTCGTTGGTCTAGTGGTTGTTGTAGTGCGACTGCTGATCGTGAGGTCCTGGGTTTGAATTCCGGATCGGGCCAAAAAATCAATTGTTGAGTTTTTCTGTCAAGAAATTCTCAATATTTCAATTCTCAATATTCCTCCCGGAGTCAGGAAGTTGACGGTGTATCACTGGGCACGTAAAGCCGTTGGTCCTGCGCCTGATCTCTCTCCGGTCGTGTCGGTTTACCGTCCCATCGGATTATGAGATTGAGGGAATAGAGAGTGCACCTGTGCTTGCGCATACACTTGGGCACTATAATCCTGTCCTGCGCCGATGGCTAGTCTCCGCTGAAGCAGGCCGCCGTGACAGTAATTCGGTCTGCAGGACATTATTGTATGGTTTATACTGCGCTTGGTACTAGTAATTTTACTTTTAAACTTGTTTTCTTAACCTTACATTTACCTACACATAATATGGACGTCCTAATATCCTAAAACTTTCATACTGAATGATATTTGACACCCGTATTTTTGAATTTAGTTATATTTTTTATAAATGTAGATGCGGACGTCGGCTTATCGGTTTATTTCATGCTGCACTATATTTTAACATTTTACATTTGGTACTAATCTGCCTAAAAGAACTCTTGTTAGGTATTTCGTAAGCAACCCATAATTCTGTGAGGATTGAGTACAGGAAGATGGACTCAATTGTAGATATTGACAGGTTTCATAGAAGTTTGTTTTATTATATTGTGACTCCTCTGTAATAACCTAATATGGTCTGGCGAAGAAACTCATTTTAATATAAGGTTTTACTGCATTAACTGCCAGTAGGTTGTTAATTTCTACAATAGACCGTGGCGTATTATTGCTGACACGAATAACTGCGAAAATATAATTTATTTACTTGATCGTGTTGAGTTTTGGTGCTCTCACTGCATCTTAAGGATGAGTGCGACTATTGTACCTAATCTGTATGAAATTACTCTCTACTTAACTAGATTCATTTTTGTGAAAGGCTATTTTTGTTAAATTATGATATTATGTTTGGTTTTGCAGTTAGTTGAAATACAATTTAATTTTCCACACACGTTTTCTAAGCTTCTAAGCATTTTATCATTTCTAGAATGAACCATTTTATAAAACACCAAAGTGACTATTTTACACCGCATGGCCTCCCTACACTAAAATACGAATAAAACAATAGCGAAAATGTGCACAGATTAAGGATAAAACAAACGATGCACGTGAGTGTTTCGTATTCTTTGTGAGCGACTTGGTACACGAAGTTATATAAAATTGGCAAATTGAGAGCAATCAAAAAAGTTACGACAAATTTTGTAAAGAAAAGTACAGTCAAGTAGTAATCGCCTATTACTTAAAGTTGTTAAACATCCTTTATGCAACAGGTAGTCATAAGAGGACCAAGAACTGTAACATCTGTAGTTTACAGAGCGTAGATATTTAGCTTGCACCGATTCTAGTAAATCACGATATCTTTGGTAGAAGGGATTCCAAACTTGTGTAACTCTGCCTGCAACAGGAAGCACGGGCAACTAACTTTGTCAATGCTTTTTGTTACTGTCGGTCCCAAGCCCGGAAAAGAGGAGGGAACGGTTCCGCCGGAGAGAGTGGGTGTATCCGGTGGACTAACACACCCAGCTGTGCTAGGACCTGCGTAGTTGAGCGCCATATGCGGGGATGAAGGGGTCCTGGAGGGTTGAGCCGATCGTCACTGGGGTATATAGTGTCGAGAGGCAACACGCCCTCGTTGGTCCGGATTTCAAGCTATACGGTGGCCTTATCTGCTAGCCACAGATAAGTAAATGGCCAAGCGTTCCGTCAGAGGGTCGCAGGCGAGGGATGTGGGGGCTTCCTAGCCTCCCTGAAAAGGGCTAAGTGGTGGTAAAGGCCATGCTGACGGGGTAAGTGAAAGTCAACTCGGGCAGTGGGGATGGGCCTTTTCAGCCCTATCTGCCAGCTGGATCGAGCTCCCGATGTCGCGCTGTGAGTAATCCTAACGCCTGAAATTCTTTTAAGGCGTTACCAAAGGTGCGGGCTCCATGGAGGGTGGGAAGCCGGGGGGGGGGGAACGAATTATTACACATGTCAAAAACTATGGACAACACAAGGCCCATTAGTAGAGAGGGAGAAGTGTCAGAGGTGTTTACCTTAAATACTGATAAACCAGAAGGAACCGCCGTTAAACCGGCCGTTCCATTGACTGAAGCATCCAGCGTAGGTGGCCCCACCAAGGTGGCAATTTCTGCGCTGGATGTCTAAATCCAGTTCCAAATCCAAGGAGCTGGACGAGAAAAATGAGCAAGGGGCCGCGAGTAGCAAAACTCCTGCGGAGCCCCAAAGGACCGAAGACCTTTTCTCCGCTGCCTGGCAAGTGGTGAGCCCTAAGGGGAAGCGCAAGGCACCCACAATGGTGACTTGCCGACCCGACGCACCATCAGGTGGGTCTATCCCAGCAGGCAGTAGCGCAAAGGTCAAAAAGAAGAATAAGAAGCAGCGAGAAAAAGGCCGCAGAGAAAGAGCCGCGCTCGCTGCTTCCAAGAGCAAGGCTCAGGGAGCTGGGCAAGCTACTGATACTACGGTACTTGGGACTGGAACCAGTAGTCGTGCTGAAACTGGGAAGGATGAAAATCCAGCCCGAGCAGTAGGCAAGGCCGCCGGAACCAGCTCTAAGAAATCCGCCAGGAACCAGAAAGCAGCCAAGCGTCCTGGAAAGAAGGAAAGAGCAGCCAAAAGATTGCTGGAGGAGTGCGACTTGAACAGCAAACAAAGGCTGCAAGAACAAGCTACGCTTCTGCTCCTAAAGCAGATTTGGGTGTAGCCTTA